GACTTGGACAACAGTCCTGGCTCATGGAAGCACGTGCTGTGGGGAAGGGAGAAGATGAAAGGGCAGGCGATGCAGAGCCTTTGGTCCCTGGATGGCCATGTGGTCGCCCGTGGTATGAAGTCACAGCTGTGCTGAGCTCAGTTGCTAAAGGTAAAGTGGCCAATGAGTCAGCGTCACAACCGTGCGCAGGGAGAGAACCTTCCAGAGACTTCCAGCTCCTAGGTTTTCCTAAAACAAGGGGAAGGAACAAATTGTTTCTCCCATCTGAGTTATAGGGATCAGGTTGAGAGAACTAAGGCATTTGCTAAATGGGGTTAATCCCATCACGCACGGGCAGGGCCAGATGCCCAGAGAGCCCAACAAGATTACCTGTTGGTGGTCAGATTTTAAAGTAAAGGATTACATAATGAAAACAAACAGCCCTCCCCACATACACACAAATAAGCAGGACTTACACATATTTACGATTAGAGAGAAATAGATAAAGAAAAAGGGACAAAGTCACTTGCAGAGTGTGCAAGAGAGATTCTGACAGCTGGAAAAGCAGAAGGGAATTTGTAGAGAGACCTTACAAGTAAACTCTTGCTCCAAAGAAAAGATACCCTCTTTGTTCATATGCAGACCTCATTTGTTTTTTATACTATTGTGGAAATTTTGAATTGAAAAAAGTTTTTAGGCTGCAGCATAAACAGACACAGCACTTTCCATCTTTCTTAATGAAAAGTCCTGAAATGAAACATTTTATATGTTCTTAACAGAACATTCTCATTTTTTGTCCTGCTAACTTCTTTGGCTGCCTTAAATATTTCTCTTGCTTAAGGTTTAAGGTCTATGGAACATAAAGAAGTTGGCCAAGTGAAAAAAAATAGTTCCTATGTTACAATTATCTTCATTAGAGTTGATAAAGAGAGTAGTTCTTAACATAAACCCCCTAAATTCTCTCAGTAATATTAGACAGTTGCAATGAAAAGAATATTCTATTTGAGAGATTCAACATTTATTTCTCCTTCTCAGAATTAGCTGTTTTAAATCATTGAATGTGCTGGGAATATAACTCAATACATAAAACTGTAAAATCCATTAACCAATGGAATTTTTAGCAGCTTTTAGAAATGATGTTATACAAAAATAATTAATGACACAAAAAGGTATCCATAACATAAACTAAGTAAAAAATCCTACAAAACATTATGTATGCAGATTCCATATTTTTCTTTAAAAAAGTCTACACCGTACGCTTAAAGGCTACCTACATATATCAAGATAACATTGTTATGTAATAGTTAAGGATTAGTTTTATTTCCTCTGTTTCTTTCTCTATATCTCAAACTATTCTGAAATTCTATGAAAGCACATTACTTTTGGAGTCATAATTATTATCAAATTATTCTCTGTACATGAGGATATTCAACCCAATTAGTACGGTAATCAATTAAACCAGTTCTCTTAAGACTTCCGTCATCCTAATGTTGAGTCTAATGATCCAAAACAAGCAGATGGGCTGAGCGGTCCAGTTGGACCACAGGGACGTTGCCTAAGCTTGACCTCTAGTGTTCCCAGAACATGTTCCAGCACCTTCTTGCTGCTGTAGGAGTAGAAATGGAGACAGAGCAGATGGCGGGCTGACTGTCAGGACAGAATGGAGTCTGCCTCAAGACTGTTTTGCAGGAGTACGGCAAGAGCAGGGGAATATAAGCACAAAGCTTCCCAGAATGCAAATGTTTGGGACAAAAAGAAAGGTGATTATATAAGAAGAGCTTACAGCTTAACATGAAGCATTTACGTTAAGAAAAGAACAAAAATTTAACCAAATTTCTGAAGTAGATTACAGAATTTCTTTTTCTAGACTTTCTTAAAAATAAAATGAACTCTGACACTATAATTCATTTTTTATTATTATCTGCAGAATGGCCATCACAGATCTTCCACCTCTCACCCTCTGGCTCCAACATTGACATCTAGTGATCACTGAGCGTGTTTTCAGAGGATGAAAATTAACATTAGCGTTAACTTAAATAGAATTTAACTTACAAAGTTAAATTTTGTGTTGGGAAAATTTACCATACTTTCCCCAAACTGAGCCTCCTCCTTCCTCCTCCCTCCCTCCTTTCTCTCGCCTGCTCTGCCCGCCCTTCTCCTTCCTTCCTCTCGTCCTCCTCTTCCTCCTCTTCCTCCTTCTTTTTCTTCCTTTTATTTTCCTTCCTCAAGTCCACCCTGTGGCATAAGCCATAATCTTTCCACTCTTTATACTCCAAATCCTTCCTAGCCCCAGTTCCTCAGATTCTGCCCAGGCTCGAACACTCTTCTCTCAGCAACCTCCGCTGAACTTGCTGAGCTGGAAGAGCATGTAGCTGATTCCTTTCTACGATTTTCATTCAGACCCCTGGGTTACCTCGTCCTCGAGGCTGTGGCCTCGTGGCCTGACATACATCTACGGAATTTCCAGCACACATTTGGTTAAACCATTTGCTGTTTGTTTGTTTTCTGAGGACATTCATATTCCCTCTATATTGCATTTGTACAGAAATCTTAATAACAGCTTCTTAATTGAGCTTCTGGAACATAATTAGCATTCTTTGGAATAAACATTCTAATTGTGCTGTCCTCTCCTTGGAATAAATAAACTACAAATTTTCCTGATTATAAGAGAAAGAAGAAACAGAGAAAAACATCATTTCTGGACAAATGCTTTTCTAAAATGCTTTGTGGGGGTAACCGGACTCAGCAAAGGAGGAGGGACACGCGTGTTTCACGTCACTGTCACATTTCTCATTCCAAAACTCACTGCCTTAACGTCAGGAACAGGAGAGAGAGAAAGACGCATAGGAGGAGGAAAAACGTGATCGCTCCGTCCAGGCTCGGAAGTCTTAAAAGTTACATGTACATCTCAGAAGTTGGGAGTGGTTTTCTACTCTGGCTGAAAAAAAAAATCCCAATAATTCCCCTAATTCAGGAAAATGATATTCACCGACACTGATCATTTGGGTATAAATTAAGCCACCAAATAATCCTTTGGTACCACTGCAATAGCCTCAGGTAATACGGTCTATGTGTGTATACATATATATATATATACACATAATATAAACACGGGTACACCTCAGCCACACAAACACACATCAGTTACTCCATCAAAGTCATTCAGCCACCAGAATACCTCCCTTTCATCATCTACACTCCATTCCTAAACCTATTTTCTGAATAGAAGGAACCTTCAAACCAGCTGATACTTGATTGATGTTGACCTGCTTTTTGAGTAAGCTGAACGCTGCTGACTTACTGAAAAAGAACCCCCTCCCTGGTTCCCCTACTAAACACCCTGTGCATAAGGAAGTGGATCACGGGAAACACTGGCGCCAGCAATTCTTGTCGTCAGCTACCAAAGCCACGGCCGGGTAAGACCAGATCGAGGGAGGTTAGGGAAGATGAATGCACCAAACTGGCCGTCGCCTCCACGTCATCATCTCCTAAAAGAAAAAGCACAGCTTCTCCAGGAATCTCCAAACCACAAACCAGCTAACATTAAAATGCCCTGTCAGAATTCCTCATGGATACCTTTTATCCTCCATAACGGTAAATTAGCTAGACAGGACATGACATTACAAGACAGAACAAACCTCTTGAACTGTAATTCGCAGCGACTTTAAAAATGGACGACGGGGGGTATATGATGGTCGCTAGAGGAAAAGTTCCCATGTGCCCCGGCATTCACACAGGCGTATCCGGACACAGCGACACCGTCAACATCACTCATCCACACGGAAGAGAGAGAGTATGTGGCTTTCACCCTCAAAACCTCTGTTAATCATGTAAATGCAGAAAATTTGTTCACGGGTTTCAGCAGACCAAATGACCCACATATTTTCTCTTAATAAGAGCTCATCTTGTGTTCTCAATGTATGGTTTTCATTGAATTACTGACATTTCCCCCCAGACATTTCTCAAGCAAAACCAGACTCCATTCCATTTATCTGTTTTTCTAGATATCCCAAATGAAGACTAGTTCATAACAAACACTCCATGGACACTAGTTGAAAGCATCCATGAATGATCTTTGATTCTCAATACTAAGTGTCCTATACGTAGCAGATAAAAAATAAAGGAAAGGAAAAAAAGTTTGTTAAATTTAATTACATTTGGTGCATAGAGAGATTGCCAAAATGCAACCATGGTTTCATTGAATTATCATGGCCTTAAAAGTCAACATATTTGATTATAGTTTGGGGCAGAAATGCAATAACAGCCATTTAACTACTGATTTGTAGTTTTAAGGTGGATCCTCCTACTGTGATTTTAAACTTGAGAGGGACCATAGTGTAAACAGGGTGTCAGCCTCAGCAAGACTTTCAACTCTGACACCTCCACAAAGTGGGAACCTCTGGCCGGGTTACACAACCCAAGAGCACACACAACAGGATCATTGCCTCGTCTTACTGATCAAGGGTGATGCTTGCTCAGGAGTATCAGCAATATTATCCACCAATTACCGCCAAACCATCTTATTTGCTCTAGTGACAGAAACTACTCTCCCGCTGCAGCAGCCCCTCCCTTCCAGAGGTCTCCTCATTTCTTACAATTTGAGTCAAGCAACCAGAAGATCTTTGATAAGTATACTTAGCTGCAGAAGCTGAGACTGAGGCCTATCTGCTCAGAAAAGATTATCACAGGGCGGGAGGCTCAGACCACAGGGCATGGTCTGCTGTCATGGAGAGGCCTTCCTAAAGCACTTTTTTATTCAAATATTTATAAAGCATCTACTAGGCACCATATACTGTGCTGAGCACAGACGATGCAGACAAGCTTTCTTATTTCATAGGCTCGCATTCAAGAGTAAGCCAACAGACAATACGCAAGCAACAGAAAAGAAATATCAGAGAGGGAGAAGTGCTGTGGTAAATAATCACTGAGACCCAAGGAGAGCCGTTCGCCATTAGTGTCTTTTCCGAGCACCAGCCACGGAGGAAACATCAGCATCAGCTTCAGCGAAATGCGGTACTTACCACCACGATCACATTCGCTGCTGGGAGTGGACGGTTTTCCACCTCAAGATCTTGACCAGCCACGGCCAGCAGATTGAGCGATGGGTCATACGCAGGTCGAGGATATGCCGAATTAACAATTTGGTGGCGTTTGCTTATCTGAGCTTCAGAAGAGGAGCGGTAGCTGTGTTTATATATCTTTTGTGGAGCTTCATCCAGGCTCTTCTCAATGTCTTGTGCATGGTGGTAAATGAATGCTGGCTTTCTGCTCTTCTGATGAATTTCCAAAAAGTGAGCATTATTTCCCGAAAAGCACCCTGAAAGAAGAAGAAGCAGAAATGAAAATCAAAGACCTTATTCAGTGGATGAGTGGAAACATCCGACCAGGACAATTACCCCCTTAGGAGGCTTGAAGACCTGCGAAGGACTGAGGTCAGTGTGCCCATCGTTTCCCCCTGCTCCATCATCCCCAACAGGTACAGCTCGCTTGGTGGTTGCAGGCATCTCAGAGACCTCGGGTGGACAGAAGTGGGTGTAGTTGGAAAAAGTCCTGTTTGTCTGATATTCTAACACCTCTTTTAGTCAGGAATTCTCTCCTGTTTCTCAGGCTCAGTTCTCACACCTGCCGGGCTTCTATTCCCAGATTTCCTGTCTGTTCCCCAAATGATAACCATTTAGATCTTATTCGAGATTTTCTCCCTTTAATCAATCATATTTCATGCAATTCTTCTTTCATACTACTTTATCCTGCTTGTATTATAGTTAACTTTGTATAATTTTTTTTAAAGTTTGAATATTTTAAGCTCACTAAGAGCAGAAGTCTGAGCATACGCATTGCGACAGCAACTTCCGGTTGTGCAGCAATATCGAATCTCTCCTTCTGACTTAGCGACACGGCCGCCAGGTAAAGTAACACCTTCACCTTTATTTCCTCTGCTAGTTAAATACCCGTTGAATCGAGTAACTGTTTCTCCTATTTGTCACTGACCACAGGAGAAAATAGGTAACAAATACATGTGAGTCAAGAGAACATCACTAGGTCAAACATCAATTAGAAATGCAAACTTAAGATCTTCTGCATAAGACGATAAGTGGAGGGAGTGGATCATGATGTGGCGATGCCACCCACAGGGCCATGTGACCTGGGCATCCAGATTCTCCCTGGGTGCCTATGGCATCCATAAGCTGTACAAATACTGCCCTGAGAAATTTACTTACCACTTTTTATAAGAATTCTGGGGTACCTAGAACTTTGATTGAGTATTTATACTAGAGGAGTTTCTGGGTTTATAGCTTTTGTCCTCTCTCAGGACTTCTGTGACAGGCGTATATTTCTAGCATCTTCAGCAATTCTGTTTTACCTGTATGCTTACAACTTTCGCTTACAGATATAAAGGCGGGTTATTTTCTTACCAGCTCAAGTGCTTTCTCCCATGATGAAACAGAGAGTTTGGGAATCATTGTAGGGTATCAGATCACTCAAATCACAATCACATTTCCTGTGGATTCCGAAATAGTAATAGAAATGGATCATCATGTCTCCTGTCCTGAGCATGCTGACTGGACAGTAACTTTTTTAAAGCAATCAAGCTACCATAATTTGCCAAAGATGAAGACTGGGGAGTGATCTCCTTGAAATCACTGTAAATTTTGTTTCTCTGACTGAAATAAGAGTTCTTTATATTGGAAATGAAACCAGCATTAGGAACATATTCAATATTATGAAATTCAGAATGGGGTACTTCAGAGTTATTATTTTGCAGCATTTTATTAATGGAGAATGGTTCTAAAGTGTTTTAGATGTATATTAGGTGTTCATTTAGCATGTTACTAAAAGTAATTTACTCAGTGATGCCTTGGAGTCCTAGAAGGGCTTCCGCGCTCCTGGAAGTTGAGCACGCCCCTTCCCCCTCAGAGAACTGAGTCTGATATTGTGAAGAGCAGCAATGAAGTGGTCAGCCGGGGGTCAAGAAATAGAACAGGCATATTATTTCTATCCTAGTTGAGTTTTTTAATACTCCTCATCTAAAGATGGTCCCTCGCTTTGGGAAAGGCATATTGAATGCTTGAATGCATTTGGGCTTCTCACCTGAAGGACTCTTCCTTCCAAAAAGAGGAATCTTTCATGTTCAGTAGCATGAAAACTCTATCTGCCATGACAGTGCTATTGAAACGGCATGTTAATACAGACCAACATGCAAAAGAGAGGTACAGGTCCTGGCAAGATTTGAGAAGTAAAAGATAAAATAGTGGGGGGTGGAGATGAATTTCAATAAGAAAGAAACAAGCAGCTTAGAAGATCTGAGAATGCAGATTTGAGAGACGGGGAGAAATGAATGAAGAACGGATAAAATACACAATTACTGTCAATCTTTCTTTGTATATGATATCAATCTTGGCAAACCTTTTCAGAGCCACCTTATCTAAATAGAATACGTGAGTCCAGCTAAAAGATCTCTTGTGCTAAAACTGGCCTACAGGGAAAAGTGGAAAAAATCTAATTTTATGTGCAATTGAAACACAATTAAAATTTCCCAGCCTTATCCAGTTGTATAAGGGAAAGGACTTAGTCCTGAGTTGTCCTTGAGTAATGAGACCCACGTGGCAGCATAGTATTAGGAGCCCCCCAGAGCCATGAGGTAGGAAAAACGTTTTCAAAGTGCTGTGCTTAGATCTCTGAATCAGAATCACCTGGTATCTTAAGAGGCAGGTCCCCAGATCCCGCTGAGAACGACCATCGCAGAATCTCTTCCAGACACATCGCCTAGGAATCTGGATTTACAATGGAATTCTCACATTCAGACTCTGAAGTCGAGGACCACTGAGCTAGTGTCTGAATTAGTTTTGTCTTCTCTGTCTTCACATGCCACCTCTCTATCACCTCTCTCACTTCAACATTATGAATATACTCAAGTAAACATTTTGGAAATGTTACAATTGAGATGCCTATTAAATATCAAAGTGGAGATGTTGAATTAGAAATTGAATAACTAAGTGTGTAGTTCACGGTTGGAGAAACATTTGTGAGTCATCCAATTCAGATAAAATTTAAAGCCAAGTGATTGGCAGTAGATAGAAAAAAGGAAGAGCGTGGAGGACACGGCACTGCAGATGTCCAATATTGAGTGTCGGGAAGCTGAATGAAAGGAGCCAGCAAAGATAAGAGAGATGGAGCAGCAGCAGAGCAGGAGGAAACCAATAGCATGTCCACAGAAGCTCAAAAGGAAAATGTTTTAGAACCTGTATGTAGCATAGGGTCTTAGACAGAAGCAATTGAAAAATTATCTCATCGTGATGTCTCTCGAAACTAGGATATAAATGGAACATCCTCATGTTTCCATGGAAGAAAAGTCCCACTGGAGACATACTCATAGATTAAAAAAATTACAAAGCACACCAAGAGACTCCTGCCATGAGAGACAGTCAGAAAACAGAAGAGGTGGAAACATTCTCATCTATGAAATAATAAATAAAAGAGAAAAAGAGAAGGGGCTTTAAAATAAGTTGACTTAAAACATCAAAAGAGATTAAAAAGGAAAAATAAGAATAGGAAATTTAAGGAAAAGAGAATAGGCATATTTCAATCCAAGTGGAAATCATAGAAATGAAAAATAGAGTAATTGAAGAAACCCAGTATAGGGGGTCCCTTTTCTTTTCTCCATTCTCCATGCTCCATGCCAGGCGATCCTATGGCAGCTGTGGGCCTGGCCGTTAACCACAGTCCACAGGATTTGAACTCTGCAGGAGGGGACTCTTCCTCCATATTGGTGAAGCTGCAATTCTAGGAGCATGGAGCCAACTATCCCAGCTTCTCCTCTCTCTGTCCTCCCACCACGTGACCCTGGACTCAGATGGAGTTGTGGAAGAGCAAGAAACTCACTTCAACTATAATGAATCAATAAGTTTTAAGTGAAAAGATGGAAAAAATGTCTATCATGTAAACACCAATCAAAAGAGAGCTAGAGTGACTATATTACTATCAGATAATGTAGACTTCAGAGCAAAGAAAATTACCAAGGATAAAGTGGGACATTACATAGTTACATATGTACATAATGATGTAATGTACATAAGAATGCATAGTAATCCTAAATGTGTGTGCACCCCCCAAAAAAGCATAAAAATACATGAAGCAAAAAGTGACCAAAATGAAAGGAGAAACAGGCAAATCTACAATTATAGATGGAGATTTTAACACTCTTCTCTCAATACCAGATAGAACTAGCAAACAGAAAATCAGCAAGGGCAAGATTATGAAAGACAGAATCACACCATCAACCACCTGGGTCTCACAGATATTCCTAGGACGCTCCAACCAAGGACACCAGAACACACACTCTTTTCTAGTGCACATGGAACATTCACCAAATAGACCATATCGTGGGTCATAAAACAAATTTAGCACATTTTCAAAGAACTGAAACTATACAAAGTATATTCTCTGACCATAATAATTAAACTAGGCATCAATAACAGAAAGAAAACCATGATATTTCCAAACACTTGGAAAGTAAACAACAGACTTCTAAATATCGGTGGGTCAAACAGTAACCACAGACAAATTAGCATACATTTGAACTGAACTAAAATGAAAATATAACATCACAATTTGTGAGATGCAACTAAAGCAGTGCTTAGAGGAAAATGTATAGCACAAATGCTTATATAAGAAAAGCAGAAAGGTCTCAAATCAATAAGCTAAGGCTCCATTTTAAGAAACTAGAAAAAAGGAAGAGCAAAATAAATGTAAAGTATGCAGAGTAAAGAAATTAAAAAGTTAAAAGCAGAAATAATTACATCCAAAGTCGGACACAGAGAAAATCAATGAAACAAAGTTGATTCTTAGAAAACATCAAAAAATTGATAAAACTCCAGCAAGACTAACAAATAAACAGAGAAAACACAAATTACCAACATTGAATGGAAGGAAGAACATACTACAGACCCAGCAGACATGAGAAGGATACGAAGGGACCACCACGTGCAGTCCTCTGCATGGAAACGCAACAACTTAGATGAAGTGACCAGCTCCTCAAAAACCACCAACTAACGCAACTCACCAAGATGAAATAAATAACCTCAATTGTCTTCAAATTATGGAAGAGTTCGAATTCCTACTTAAATTTTTTTCTGAAAAAGAAATCTTCAGTATCAAATGGTTTCACTGGCAAATTCTACCAAACATTTAAAGAAAAAAATAACCTCAATTCCACAGCATCTCTCCCAGAATATAGAAGAGAAGAGAACACTCCCAAATACTTTTATGAGGCCAAAATTACTCTGATAACAAAATCAGGGAAAGATGATACTAAAAAAG